TCCTGACCCTGTAACTAATGCTTGGTCGAAAGGAGATGCAAAAGCCAGGGCGATAATTAATTTGGCAGTCAGCGACCAGCAAGTAGTCTATAAGAAATAAGAAAACTGCCAAAGAAATGTGGGACAGTCTTGCAGCAGTGCATGTTAGAAAAGAGTCAGCATCTGCATTGACCTTTTTCAAGCAGTTGTACCAGACGAAGTTGCAGCCTGGTGGAGATTTGGCAGCACACTTGAGACGTCTGGAGGCAATATGCGGCGAGTTAATTCGAAGGGACATGGAGATACCTGATATTCAGTAGTTTTTATCATCTTTGTTCCCTTAATGAGGACTTTGATGGTATAGCTAGCCAGATATCTGCTGTTCCACCAGCACAATTAACTGTGGAAGGGGTAACAGCAAGATTAATGGGCGAGTTGGATAGAAGGGAGGCTTGTGCCATAAGCACTCCTGTTTCCAGAAAGAATGAGGAACGCCATATGAAAACCTGTGGTGATACAACCTGCATTTAAAGCTGCAAAGCGTTGTTGGTTCTGCAATAACAAGGACATTTTGCAAGGGACTGGCAGATCCAAAAGAAAGCAAAGTACTCCCAAGCCTGTTTCTGTTCGTCAATCACGGTCGTCAGCCCAGCAGCCCGGCATCCATATAGTAAGAGACAGAAACGAGCCGCGAGCTTTTCACGCTCGCACTAAAGATCGTAAAAGAATTAAAGGTGCAAGTGGAAGTCTTTTGTTATCGACTCAGGAGCATCTCAAATATCTGCAATGATCGAAGCTTGTTTATTTCTTTCGAAGAGGAAATTGGTATGTACATTTAGCCAATTCACAAGTCTTGCAGTCGCTTGGCAGGGGTACTGTTAAACTTGACTCTTTAAACATTAGCAGATAGCGAACTGCATTTACTGCCCGTCAGTGGACAATTTATTGTCAGTAAGGTGCTTTGCCCGTCAAGGCATAACTGTGCGTTTCTTAAAGTCTATGTGTGAGTTTTTTCGAGGGGAACAAACGTCTATTGGTATGCCCGGGAATCTGATGGTTTATATAGACTGTATTTTCGCACCTACTCCCAATCGTCTATAAATTGCAGAGCAGCACAGTCAAGCCAGGGGTTGAGGAATGTAAGGCCACATTCTGGGTGTGTCCACGTGGCGCACAGAATTCTGGGACACCTGAATTTTGCTGATGTAATTAAGACAAAGAATATTGTCAATGGGCCTCAACTTAAAACCATGTAAATTCTTTATGCAATGTCTATCCTGTTGCAAGAATAAGATTAAGGTTGCACGCAAGGGCAGGTGCTCAGATAGAAAAGTAACTGAGGCATTTGAGCGTGTACATTGTGATTTAGTTGGGCCACTCCCACCATCATTAGGAGGTTCAAAGTACTGGCTTACTCTGATAGACCAGTATAGTAGATATTGTTGGACTTATGCAATAGCTGAAAAGTCCCAAGCATTTGAGAAGTACAAGGTTTTTTGCAACTGGGTAAAAACGCACTTTAACAAACCTATTAAGAACCTGTTTTCTGACCGGGGCGGGGAATTTGTTTCTGAGGATTTTGAGAAATTCCTGGAAGCGCAGGGGACTACTCATGAGTTATCTTGCCCCGAAGTCCCTGGCAAAATGGGCTTGTTGAAGTTGTGCAGCGTGACCTGCAGGCAGGGGTTAAAACTTATCTGCACGATGCTAATCTGCCCAAAGACTTTTGGGCTGAAGCACTCCATGCTTTTTGTTATGTGAGAAATCGCAGTTATCATTCTGGTTTAGATGTCACCCCCTATGAGAAGCTGTTTAAAAAACGCCCTAATCTGAAATACCTACGTATTTGGGGTTCAGATGTAATTATGCATTATCCTGCTAAGCAGAAATTGGGTGAGCGTAGTGTCCAGGGAAAATTAATGGGCTACCAGCAGGGGGCGTACAGAATTTACATACCAGCAACTGGCAAATTTCATATTACCAGAAGCATGATACAAACTGTAAATTGGAATGGGGTTGCTGTTTTCCAAGATACTGATGGTATAAATGATACTGAGGAAGAAGAGGAAGCAGCAGCAGCAGCAGGAGGAAATGGTGATTCTGAATTAATAGAAAAAGACAAAAAGCCTGTTGAATCTGATAATTTGTTTGATGATTTAAAGTCACAGGCATCTGAGGGGAGGTTAGATTCTCTTGAGTTTTCTGACCGTGAGCTTAGCCTACAGGCACCTCTTCAGTCTGACAATGATAATTTACAACCTGAAACTAGTAGTTCATTGAGTCCCATTAAGTCTGAGGAGTCTGACTCTCCTTCCGGACTGAGACGTTCAGATAGAAAGAGGCAGAAGCCACAACGTTTCGCAGATGAACATTTTAATACTGTGTATGCCAATAAGGTGGTTTTTGAGCCAAAAAGCTACAGTGATGTTCAGAATTTACCTATGCACCAAGCTGTAAATTGGTATAAAGCTATGAACTCTGAGATAGCTTCTTTAAAAGAGCATAACACTTGGTCTCTTGTACCACAAACCCCAGATATGAGACTTATTGATTCAAAATGGGTTTATAGAGTTAAAATGAATGACAAAAATGAAGTTGTAAGGTACAAGGCAAGACTAGTTGCTAGAGGTTTTCAACAAATTCCAGGCGAAGATTATGATTTGTGCTATTCGCCAAGTGTAAAATATGAAACAGTTAAGCTTTTGTTAAAAGATGCATCACAACGTGGACATTCCGTTTATCACCTAGATATAAAAACTGCATATTTGTTTGCAGATTTAAAAGAACAAATTTTTATGCGTGTCCCTGAAGGCATAGACGCTGCTGAAGGTTTGGTATGCAAATTAAATAAATCCCTTTATGGTCTGCACCAAAGTGGAAGGAATTGGCACCAAACTTTAGCAAAAGAATTGCTAGATATTGGTTTTTCACAAGGAAAGGCAGACAATTGTGTGTTTATAAAGGAAAGGGCAAACTCTGTAACAAAAATATGTGTGTATGTAGATGACGTGTTAATTTCTACAAAAACTAAACAGGAATATGAACAGGTAGTTTCACAGTTACAGAAGAAGTTTGATGTGGTGGAATTAGGCATAGCTAAAAATTACTTATCCATGCAAATTGAGAAAGGCAAAAATGGATCTTTTCTGGTTCATCAAACTGCAAAAATTGATGATCTAGTTGAAATGCTACGTTTAGAAAATGCAAATGGGAAGGAGACACCTATGGTGTGTGGTTTCACCTTTACAGGTGAAGATAAGCCATTTCCTAACAAAACTTTGTATCGTTCTGCTATAGGCAAGCTAAATTTCATTCAAAGAATCTCAAGACCAGATATAACTTATGCTTTTCACTTTCTAGCAAAATTTGTGGAAAAGCCCACTACACAATGTTTCTCTGCTCTTAAGAGGGTGGTAATGTACCTTAAACATACCAAACATTATAGGTTGCAGTTTACAACAAGTATTGATAAAGGTTTTGAAATTTTCTGCGATGCATCTCATGCAGTAGAACAAAATAATTGCAGGGGTGTGTCTGGTATGGTGTTTTGTTATAACGGTTGTCCATTTGAATGGAAGTCCCAGACACAAAACATTATTTGTCTCTCCACAACTGAGAGTGAATTATGTGCATGCGTTCAGGCCACTCGTGATGTAGAATGGTATCTGCAAGTATTCGCAGACCTACAGATGCAAGTAACATTACCAGTAAAAGCTTACCTTGATTCCCAGAGTGGACTTGCTATCCTGTGTTCAGAGACCAATACGCAGCGCACCAGAGTCTTAAGATTACGTTTAGAATTTGTAAAGAAGCTAATTGCTGATGAAATGGTTGTATTTAAATATGTTCCAGGTGACAATCAAATTGCGGACATTTTTACTAAAGCACTTCCAAAGGTTACACATGAAAAACATGTACAAAGTATGCTTTATGTTTTTGTTCCACAATGATGAACCGCAGGGGAAATGTTGAATGGTTTCTTTAAATGTAAAGGTTCATCATTGTTCCACTCCATGTGTATGTCTTTAAGGGGCCAGAGCAAGGGCCAGAGCAAACTAACGAGACCCAGCTTTACAGCTGTGTAACATAGCAGGTGCTGCTGAGTTGTATTTGATTAAGGTGTGTCAGCATCTGAGTGTAGTATATAAGGAGCAGCACCTAGCTCTCCCATTACCCTGGGGGATGGGTTGGTGGTTGGGTCATGTTTGTTTGTTAATATATTTAGTGTTAATGGAGTTTTTGTTTTTCTTATTAAAACCTTCTTTAAGTTATTTTTGAGTCCTTTCTTTTTAATGCATGATCTCCCCAGCAAGCTCTCTGCAGCGTCACTATACTGCAAAAAGCCAACAGGGATACCAGGAGGTCTCCGCCTACCTCAGTCAGTTGTCCAATCCCACCTGGGGGAAGCGTTGCCAAGGAGACCAAGCCAGGTAGGGGAGGGATTACCTGCCCACACAATAGAGGGAGGATCTTACCTGGGAATCCTCACTTGGCTCCAGAGCTTCTCCCACCCTACCCACCCTCAGTTAATGTCTTATTTTGCAGGTTAACTTTTCTTCACAGGTTTTGCAAGTTAACTTTTCTTCACAGGTATGCGGGCGCTGCTACGTTAAGGTCGCTGTTAAAGGGCCGGAAAGGAATCTCCCTGCATTGGCAGGTTTCGCCTTTCCCGTAGCAAAATGTCACAACTTTGGCGGTATCAGGCCTTGGGCGGAATCCTTTAGTCCATCTTCCTCTTTGCGGCGGCGATACCAGGGTTCCCCGTTAAAGGGGTTTCTGAAGGGAGGCTTTGCCCGTACACCGAAAGGTCGTCATTGCTCTCCCCTGCGGCGGCGGTGTTACGGGGGCAGCTATCTCTCCTTGAACATATGTTCTCCAGAGCCGGCCCATCCCCCCCACACACTGGATAACCCTGATGCTCCCTAGGTCCCCGGCTGGGGACTGGGGAGGGAGAACGCCCAATGCCTGAGCCAAGGTCTACCCACATTTGAAATTTAATAAAGTTGTGGCCAATTTAATCCCATAGCACGTTGTCTTGAGTCGTTATTCCACATGACGGGGGGGGGCCCGCTCGGGATCTGGGGACTCCGCCTGTCCACGCAATGATAAAGCGGGGTATCAAATCCAAAACACTCTCTCTCTTCTCTCTTCTTTTCTTAGGTTGGATGGGTAATGCAAATAACCCTCGGGACGAGTCCAGTTGAATCTCTGGTTGCAGCTGGCAACATATTTGTGGGGCAGGTAAGCTGGGCAGGGAGTGGGGCAAGGCAGATGAAAAACTGTACCCCTTTATGGTCCAGCACAGTATGTCCACCATAGCCATGCATAGCAGTATCCTTTGTTCTTAGTGATCCCCATTAAGAACTGCTTGAATTAAACAGTTTGCAATTGGCAAGGACATTGGAGAACAGGCAAAACCTTGGAACCCTGGGGGCAGATTTTAGCCACCACTTCACTAGCGCTTCCCAATACATATTTTTTACCTTCCATGCAGCAGGTAATCAGTCTTATATGGCGCTGATTTACATCAGTTTGGAAAACTTGGGTTCAGAAAAGTCTGCTTCCATAAAGAGCGATTGAAGAGCATCACAGGCCCTTGTGCACACGAAACAAAAGGGAAAGAAACAAATGGCCAGATTCTAGATCTAGATGTATATGTGATGTGACAAGTTAATCCCATAGATTTAGCTACCTATTATGTTATATTATGTAATATATTCACATCTTCAACTGGCCAAATTGATTGTGATCATTCTGTTAGAGCACAAATGAAAGCAAAATGATCATTTGCCTACTTTTAAGCTCCAATTGAATTGTCACTGACTGCTTTTGCATTCCATTGCCCCTTAACACCAGCCTTTACACTTTCACCCTCTTACACTCCTGCAGATCCCCCTAAGTGCATTTGATGAAGTCCACATAAGCTTATGCCGTAATGACATTTGTCAGTCTTGAAGGTCTTTTGCCATTGCCTTTAAGACTCTGCTGTTTTTGCTGAAATAGACTGGTATGGCTAGCACTTTGGAAATTGCGCCTATCCCAATATTTCTAGCTTACAGAAAGAAAAAGGAGATGGTTTTAAATGTACTCAAGTGTAATTTCATACTATGGATAAAATATAGCAATACGAGGCAACACCTAATATGTGCTGGCTTGCTTTTTTGCTTCTTTTCCACCAGACAGAATCTCCTCTCTTGGTGAAGCCTTATTTGCCCTATATCACCAGGTCTGAACTCCATGCTGTCATGACAGCAGGATTCGCCACTATTGCTGGAAGTGTCTTAGGAGCATATATTTCATTTGGTGTAAGTATAGAAACACGCTAGCTCTTAATTACTGTTTTCCATCCCCACCCGACTAGTAACAAAGAGCATGAAAGGGAATTAGTTCTCCCTAACCACGCAGATTCCTAGAAGACAAATCTTTCATTAATAGCACTTTCCTGGGAGAAGGTTCCATCAAACTCCATAGGTCTTGCTTCAGAGTAGACAGTTTTCCTGCTGCAAACCAATGTGACTATCCTGATTACATTTAAACCAGTTAGTGTTTTCAGCTAGAAATGCATATATCTTGATTCAGGCAAGACATGAATCTTTTTAAAAAGATATCACTCATACCTTTTGACCTATTTATTTCGTCAGCAGGGGTGCCATCTAGGGAGGGCAAGAAGCTGAGCCCAATTTTCAAAGAGAGGGTTGGCCCCCCTCAATATGGTGGAAGGCTGCACCGGCCTGTGTGGTGTCAGGAGATGCCACAGGGACCAGCATGCCTGGCACGAGGTCACACTGGCCTGCACGGCTTTGGGAGGTGTGCATGACATCACACAATGCACGTGTGATGTCACATGTGTGTTCTGGGCCCCTTCAATCTTGGGGGGTAGCCTGGTGCCTGTGTTCAGCAGGGTTACCACAGGAATGATATTCAGCATCTTGTGCCCAATTAAATGTTGTCCTTCTTCACCTTTGACATTTCAGATTCCAGCCTCCCACTTATTGACAGCTTCCGTGATGTCAGCGCCAGCAGCTTTGGCTATTGCCAAGCTCTTTTGGCCAGAGACCGAACATCCCCAGATAACTGCACAGCAGGCTGCAAAAGTGGAGAAAGGGTAAGAAGATTTATACTTACATGATGCAAAGGCTTAGGCAGAATTGGGAAGAGTAGGGTAGCTCTCTCTCTCATCACAAAAAAAGAGGGCATCAATTTGCATAAAATGTGTATGCACTGATTTATAGGGTGAGGCAAATTTCAAACGCATTATAAGTAGGAATATAACTCATCCTAGTGGAGAAGACTGTGATCAAGTGGTCTTTGTGGCAGCTTGGACTGCTGTCCTGGTGCTAATTGTGGATGGGTGACTAACAACTTTTTTACGCTTCTTGTGGTTCTTTATCTTTAAGCTGGACTTGAACGGGACTCTCAGATAGAGGGCTGTCCTCTGCCACTCTAGGGAAAAGACAATATATAGAGTTGTTATGCAGACATTCAAAAATACAGTTGCAGTAAATTGCATAACAAGCCATTTCCTGCCCTTAAATCAAATGCCTGGCCCTCAGATAACCGTCTCACTTTGCCTAAGGATAGGGGCGGCTGTAGCTCAGGACATTCAGTCACGGGTTGCATCTTGTGCTGCTTGGCCCTGAGAAACTGTGCACATGAAAGGCTTCCAAGGCTCCAAAGGACTCTGTAAATGCTAAATATTGTTAACAAGATTAAGTTCAGTGGTACCTCAGGTTACAGACTATTCAGGTTACATGCCCTTCAGGTTTCTTAACCCAGAATAGTACCTCGGGTTAAGAACTTTGCTTCAGGATGAGAACAGAATTTGTGTGGCAGCAGCGGGAGGCCCCATTAGCTAAAGTGGTACCTCAGGTTAAGAACGGACCTCCGGAACAAATTAGGTTCTTAACCTGCGGTACCACTGTACTGGTTCTGATCATTTTTCTGGTTGCTGGTTTTTTTAAAGGGCGAATTCTGTTGTCATGGGGGCGGGGAAGTGACAGGGGTTCCCACACCTGCTCTTTTAAACATCACATTAACCTGCACCTTTTGTTCTTGTTTTCTCGGTGAAGAGACTCAAAAAACCTATTGGAAGCAGCCAGCCAAGGGGCTTCTGCCTCCATCCCTCTGGTGGCAAACATTGCTGCAAATCTGATTGCCTTCCTTGCCTTGCTTTCTTTCTGTAATGCAGTCCTCTCCTGGCTGGGAAATATGTTCAACTATTCACAGTTGAGCTTTGAGGTATTAAGTGCTATAAGCTTTGTTGTTGTTGTTGTTGTCGCCGTCACTATTCAGTACAGCCATGGTAGATGAAAAAGACAGTAAATTATAAAAGGTTATTTGCTTGTACATAATATAAGAAACAAGGACAATATACTTAAGTTTTACTCATGTCCTATAAGATTTTAGCTAAGGCATGATCTCTCTCTTTCACACACACCCCTGACATAAAATAAAACAATTACCATATTTTTCGCCCTATAGGACGCACTTTCCCCCCTCCAAAAATGAAGGGGAAATCTGTGTGCGTCCTATGGGGCGAATACAGGCTTTCGCTGTAGCTTGGAGAGCGAGAGGGGTCGGTGCGCACCACCCCCTCTCGCTCTCCAGGCTTCAGGAAGCTATCAGCAAGCCTGGGGAGCCCGCGGGAGTTCCCGCAGGGCTTCCTAGGCTGCGGATAGCAGCCTGCCGCCCGGCGCGTGGACGCCCTGAAGCAGAGCACCCCTCGCGCCGGGCAGACATCGGCCAGCCCCACAAGCTCGGGGGACAGAGGGGAGGCGCAGTGCTGCCATCCTGCTGTTCCCTGACCTGGTTTGGAGGCTGGCGCTGGGGAGAAGCGCTCTTCTCCCCAGCGCCAGCCCCACAAGCTCGGGGGACAGCGGGGAGGCGGAGCGCCGCCATACCGCTGTTCCCTGACCTAGTTTGGTTTCCCCGACCTGGTTTTGGGGGGGAAATAAAGGGGAAAAAATTTCCTTTATTTCCCCCCCAAAAAACTAGGTGCGTCCTATGGGACAGAGCGTCCTATGGGACGAAAAATACGGTATATTTTCACATGAATCCCATTTAGCCGATGCAAAGGGAGTCTGACTGACCACTTCTCAGGGATGTTGCAGTGCTGGACTTCCTACACGGCACTGAGTGAGGCTCAATGACCTTTGAGGTCTCTTCCAACTATGGTTCAGTGCTGCTGCTCATTAAACCGACCCTTCTATAGTCTGCAGTTATATCAATCATTTTTATTTATTCTTTTTTTAAAGCACCATTCATTCAGCAAAGTCCTTCATTCAGTTCATCAGTGGAGGGTGTTGCCCCCTTCCTCCGTCACTGGTGTCCTTGGACTTTATGAGACAGTGGAGATCCGTAATCACATCCCCCCTTTTCTGTCTTTAAATTTATTAAAACACAACTGGCGGAGATGACTGGCAGAATTCGAGACCTGGGAGAAGAGCTAGTGGAGGAGGACTGGAAGAAATTTAAAGACTATTTGCAAAAGCATTGTAAACTGTATGAATATTAGAATGATGCGGGATTTAAAGATAATATGGTATTAGTGATATAGTTAAAAGCTATGTAAAAATGATATACAGAACAAAGGTGAAGCCAGAATAATATTATGTCAAACCTAAACAATATGAAAAAGTGGAGGGAAGAATAGAGGCATAATAGTTGAAGTGTATAATATGAATTAAGATCTGAAAAAAGGTGAGGTATTGCTGAACAAGATTTTGTAGAAGGGAACACAGAAAAGGGAGATGTGAGGGAGTCCAGAAAGAGGACTATGAGAATAATATTCAAGAAAATGGCTTTTTTCTTTTTTTATGTTTTTGTTTCTTTTTTGTCTTTTATGATGGGTTTTTTATTGTATTTTGTTGTTGTTTGTATGGTGTTTTTTTCTTTTTTTACTATGTGTTGTGAAATTTGCTTCATTCTTGAAACTTTAATAAATATCCTTTTTAAAAAAAATTATTAAAACACAACTGCAGAGAGGGGTGGGTGGGTGGCGGTGATTAGGGAAGGGGAGTTTAATGGACTGCCCAGTTACCTGCTCCTTTTTGTTTCCCATTGTTATGCGTGCTTTGCACTGGCGCCAATGGCTTCACATGACAAAAGGTAGGGTTGCCTAATATTGACTTGCTTTCTAAAGCCATACTGATGCATTTGTGAGCCTGACCAGCTTGGTTATCACAGCAAAGCAATGGAATATAGGAGGCGGTGGTTGTTTTTACGTAAACAAAAAGCCCTGAGAAATACCAATATGTGGTTAATGTATTTATTGGCTTTTAGATCAACCCCTCTCCCCCCCCCCCTCTCTCTAGGTCATTTGTGCTTATGTCTTTATGCCATTTTCATTCATGATGGGAGTCGACTGGGAAGACAGTTTTCTTGTTGGTAGACTTCTAGGCTATAAGACCTTCTTCAATGAATTCGTGGCTTATAAAGATCTTTCAGAACTGATCAAACTGAGGAAGGCAGGAGGGGAAAAGTACATTGGTGGAGAGAACCAATATCTGAGTGTGAGTATCCTTGCGCAGTTCTTTGCTTTTATTTGACCCAGCCTTCTCAGAGGTTCCAATTGTCACACCGAATAAAATTGATTTCTGATTTAAAAACCACTTTGGTTAAGCATGTGTTATTATAGCAACACAGAATATTTTTCTAATGCCCATTTAATTCTGTTACCTCACAGCACCCAATCTGAGCTAAGCAGCATAATCTCCCTTTTAGCAACAGGGAGCAGGGCACAAATGTGGAGGCAGGGGGATAAGATGACTAGGCTAATTCTTATCGCTGCCCCAATCTCCAGGAACCGTTTCGATAAGGGAAGGTACAAAATACAATTCCCTAGGGATCTGAAGAGAGTGGCAGAATATTTTTCTTTACAGCTAGTGCGTCTTCCTAGGAAGTACTTTGAGAGTTCTGAATCCAAGACTTTCTGCCTAAAAATGCCACATTTTCTTTCAGAGTGAACCATTTCAGACTGAACCTGAACTGACAGTCCATTTTCATTGCCATTTTGGAGTATCAGGAAATGATTTCCAGTGGTCTAGGCTGCCATTCTGTTCATGGTGAAGTGGTCATTTCACTACTACACCCAGAGCAAGTTGAAAGCCTGTGCTGTCACTGCAATGAAGCACTTTAATTTATTTATTTATTTAACTTTTGTGCCACTTCATATTTCAGCAGAAATCGTTGTGGTTAGGCTTGAACCCTGTGTCTCCTGGTGCTTCCTAAGTTTGATGCCAGGCATCATAAAGGGTTCTCTGCTTTGGTAATTCCAGAACTATTCAGCAAGAACATGACTGCATAGTGAAAAAGAGGTTGGAAGGTTCACTTTTAACTTTTAATTTTTCTCAGAGCCTTCTAATAAGTCTAGATACAGGCATATATCTCCAATAAAGTCTATTCTGCTACATGTCCACCCCCACAGCCTGCAACAATCAGGCTTCCCAGCTTTCAAACATTTCCAGGAAAAGGTTGGACAAAAGACCTTGAAATGTGTTTTTCTACATAGGCAAGAAGCGACCAGAAATATCTACAAATTGCTGCTTTAAAACATGAGGGGGCACTCATAAGCATATAATCAATTGAAATGCTTGTATAATTTTATTATGAACAGGGAACAGCGGGTGGGAAGAGTGAAGATATGCTCATAGATGTATCTCTTGCAGTTGGAAAACAAATACAGTATATACCCAATAGAATTATCAGGGGCCTCTTACCCATAGACGCTAGTGGTGCAGGGCGCCAAGTTCTGGAGGACGCCAGGGAAGAGGTGGAGGCTGGACGCAGCGCCTCCCGGCATCAGCTCGCCACCCTCACCCGCCTCCGCCATGCTGCACCGAAGCAGCACCATGCCTGGAGCCTCCACCTGCTGTGGCCACCATGGCATGAAGCAGCCAGTTGAGCCAGGAGCCGCCATGTCCAGCCTCCGCCTCTTCCATGCTGGAAGAGCTGCCATCCAGCCGCTGCCCGCCTCCTCCAGCCTCACAAATTTGGGCGTGTTGCCAGCAGCGCCATCCTCCCTAAAAGAAGGTCTGGGAAACGGGAAGGTGGTGCCAGAGGGATCTTTGCACCACGGCACCAGATATGCTTAAGACGGCCCTGAGAATCATTTAAAGAAAAGCAGCAGTTTCCACAGGCACACAGCAGAGAAGCTGGTTAAATCATATTTTGGTAGATTTTGCCATTTCAAAGGGTAAGATGATGTAACCTAGCAAGATGTTTTCCTTTCTTCAAATTTTAGATTCGATCAGAAACCATTGCCACTTATGCTCTCTGTGGATTTGCAAACTTTGGCTCTTTGGGACTCGTAATTGGAGGACTCAGTAAGAAAACGTTTACTTCTTGTTTGGGGCACAGTATTGGACAAAAATAATCCAAATCCAAACACTCCTGCTGCTGCAATAAATGCAGCTGCAGATGGCTTGGCAGGACTGCACTGCTGACCTGACATCTGTCTGGCTGAGTCACTGCAGAGAGGGGGAGGGGTGTGATGGCAGCAAGGGTGTGCAGTGGCAGCAAGAGCACTGGATTGGCTCTGCTGATGTGTTTGAACTGCACAGGCCTCACCACCAGTGTGTCCTCCCCCTCTCCATCCCAATAACATCTGATATTGTGCTGTACTATGGAGGTCCTCCAAGCATCTCTCTAGCTCAGTGTGATGTCAGAGACACTCTGCACCTCTCTCCTGAGGTGCGGAAATTTCAAGGTCACGAAAATCACCAACTCTGGCTATCTACAAAGAGTAGCCAGAACTTATGGGCTCCGGATGATGCATGAGAATGCATCAACCTCATGCTAATGCCTAAGGAAGCCATTGTCATACCAAAAAGGCAAAGGTATCCTGCACTGGACGCGGGTGGCGCTGGGGTCTAAACCCCAGAGCGTAGGGCTTGCCGATCAGAAGGTTGGCGGTTCAAATCCCCGCGACGGGGTGAGCTCCCGTTGCTCAGTCCCTGCTCCTGCCAACCTAGCAGTTCGAAAGCACGTCAAAGTGCAAGTAGATAAACAGGTACCGCTCCGGCGGGAAGGCAAACGGCATTTCCGTGCACTGCTCTGGTTTGCCAGAAGCGGCTTAGTCATGCTGGCCACATGACCCGGAAGCTATATGCCAGCTCCCTTGGCCAATAAAGCGAGATGAGAGGCGCAACCCCAGAGTCGGTCACAACTGGACCTAATGGTCAGGGGTCCCTTTACCTTTAATGTGAAAATTGGCCCAGAGGCTACTGGACACTTTCCTGGCTGCTTGGTCAAGTCTAGCTGGTGCAGAGATAGTCAGAGGCAGGGCCAGATTTAGGTTTGACGAGGCCCTCAGCTACTGAAGGTAATGGGGCCCTTTATATGTCCAGCTGTCCCTTGTCAACAACAAATTGTGGCTGTTTTTTTGTGTTGAGTATACACCATACACAACACAAAACACTGTTGCTGTATGCAGGTTTTATTTTATTTGCTTATTATCTTATATTTTGGAAATGTACATCCAATTTTTTTTTCCTTTAAATTTTTCTGGGGACCCCAAGAGAATGGAGCCCTAAGCTATAGCTTGTTTAGCTTATATGTGAATCCGGCACTGGTTGGAGGGTTCAGGAAAACCTTGACTGGAACTGCTTCACATTCCAGAAGGCAAGAACTGATAGTGGATGTCGTTTTCCTCAAATCTCTTCCTCAGCATCCATGGCACCTTCCCGGAAGAGAGACATTGCCGGCGGGGCCTTGAGAGCCATGATTGCTGGCACGGTTGCCTGCTTCATGACAGCTTGCATTGCAGGTACCATATATTTTTTTTCTACCACAGGATGGCAGTGTTTTGGTTTGTGTTCTTCAGCAGGCCCTGCTGGCTCCAGGACATTTTGGTGTGGTGCTAAACCTCATTGCAAGGATGTATTCTGTGTTCATTATTATTATTATTATTTTAAGGTGACTTTTTCTCCCTTTATCTCTTGTCAGTAATTTTCAAGATCTATATTAGCGGGCATGCAAATTGATGGCAGTGCATCTATTTGAAAGGGGTAAAGGAAAAGGAAAATAATATTTCCAGCGCTGCACTTCCACCATACATTCTCAAATTGGAAAGAAGAGGAAAGTTTTGTACTAATGAACCTACAATCCAGCTCAGGCTCTTCTGTATTGCACACATGGGTGGCTGGAATTTCCACTAAAATCAGTGAAACTTTGACTTCTGGTTCAGATGGCGACAGGGCAGACAGCTGCCTCTGAAGCTCCACAGGTCACACCATTGTAATTGGTTTTAACGTGTTTTAGATCAATTATTTTATCAACTACTTTATATCTTGAAAATCAGAGGACAGAAGAATGTGGAGCTGTGATTCCAATAGCAATTAACAGGCCTGGAGCTTATTTGTCTTGTCAGCTTTCTTTTTACTGAGTGGTGATGTGGGAGGCAGCTGAAACCAGTGCTCTGTAGTTAATGAGATTTTTAACTTGGTTTTTATACAGCTTTTAATTGGACTTAACTTGTTTTATCAACTGCTTTTCATTTTGGAGACCTGAGCACTGCGAAAATGTGGTGTTTATCAGTCTAGGCTGCTTGTTCCTTGACAGCTAAAACTGCGGACTTTATCTCTAGAAACTTCAAATTGATACACTCTGGACTGGATGTTTTAACCAGAGATTTGATTTATTTTTGTGCCCAATTAAAGAGCAGCAAATTGTCCTCACAGCCTCTGGCAAGCCTGCAGGCAGCCCACCTGCCGATCCAACTGTAAGCATCCTGCAAAGGTCTACAAGGCCAGATAAGCCCCTTTTCTATCAGGATGAACAAAGTACAAATGTTCTATCAACTGTCCTGGCAAATATGTAAGATCTGCCTGAACATTTGTAAATTCAATGGTAGCACCCCCTGTTGGAAGTCTGTCTCATTGGCTAAAAATCAGATAAAAAGCTTGTTTGGGGATCAAATTGGCTTTGTTGATTTAAAATCAGTGTATGCATTAAACCACCCTTTCCAAAGACAAAAGGTTCTGTTAACATTTGGCAGCCCATATATTCTATCTAGTTCAGTGCTGCTTTTGGAAGCATCACATTAAGTACAAATAGACTTTAAATTTCTGAATCAAGCTCTGAAAAGCGGGGAAGGGAGTAGGCTTGGAAGTTTGTAATGTTTCTGACTGTGATATCACCAAGTTTAAGGATAATAAATAAATAAATGAGTAAATGTGCTTGTGGCACTTTTTAAAACACATGAGGAAAGAGGCAAAACTGATACAGAATTTGTCTCCCATTGTAAACTGGAAAAGTGGAAGAAATTGGGTTCACACTGTAGGTGGGGCCGTACAAGTCATTTTCAATAGTACTGGAACTGCAACCAAGAAATATGGTTATTACTTAATAAAGGAGGGTTTCTGCTTTATTTTCAGGAATATTATCTGTTGCAGGAGATCCATGCACTGCTTTATTTGAAAACAACTTCAATATGACCAGCAATAGCACAGAAATAGTTAGCTGCTGCTTAAACCTCTTTAACAGGTAATTATAGAATGGCAGAATCTCACTTCAGAGAATCACATCTGAAGTTCAATTATTTCTCTTACAGAATACAGGAATACTATATGCAATACTGCAAAAAGATAATACAAAGATAATGAAAATGTAGCTCAAAAGTTAATGCTTCAGACTTCATGAACATTGTTGAGCTATCATTTTATAACTATTAATCTTAGAATTTGAGGTTGGTTTCTATGCACGTCACCTCTCACCAGCTACACACAAACAAAGGCCACATTCATAAATAGCACTTCCATAAGGTATCATTTAGTAAGCGATGTTGCAACCCAAGAATGCCCACTTCACATCTCCCTTCACAACAGGGCTCACATAGCATGACATCCAAATGCATTATTTAAGGCTCTCCCCCCCCCCCATGATAAACCATGAGCACAGCAAGAAACCATGGTTTAAGCTTTTTGGGCTGTCACAGGGACCAGCCAATCAGCACTGTGCACAGCCAACTTCTTCTGGAAACAGAAAGAACTTGTTGGCCCTAAGCTTGATTCTGTAAGGAAGTGTGTAAAGGTAAAGGTAAAGGACCCCTGACAGTTAAGTCCAGTCGCAAACGACTCTGGGGTTGTGACGGTCATCTCGCTTTACTGGCCGAGGGAGCCGACGTTTTCTGGGTCATGTGGCCAGCATGACTAAGCCACTTCTGGCGGAACCAGAGCAGCGCACGGAAACACTGTTTACCTTCCTGCCACAGTGATACCTATTTATCTACTTGCACTGGTGTGCTTTCGAACTGCTAGGTTGGTAAGAGCTGGGCAACGGGAGCTCACCCCGTCGCGGGGATTCGAACTGCCAACCTTCCAATTGGCAAGCCCTAGGCGCAGTGGTTTAGACCACAGCGCCACCCACGTCCCTAAGGAAGTATGTACATCTGGCCAAAAGCAGAGAGTAGCAGATCCACATTGGGCTCACCACTCAATCTCTGTGCATTGGTACACAGCCTAAGCCAACCCAGAGACTGATTTATTTATTTTAAGGAACCTGCTAGGTCTTTAGCTTCAGATGTTTTGTTAGCCACTCTCATTGCTCATCCCAGAGCAGAGCACATAACCATTTTAGAATACAACACCTAAAATAAAAGTAAAATAAAACACAAAACATACTCTCAGCAACAAGTACAACAGTAAATCACAACAGCCTCCTGCATTAAGTGCATCTAGTGATGAATAGGCACCCTGAAGTCCAACAGATATTTGAGATGTACCCTATAGCCTCAGAGTACTGATGGGAGAAATCAACAATAATAGCTCATGTATGCAGTGACTCTCTTAGAATTGTTTTAAATCTGACAGTCTTCAAACACAGGGAATATGGTGGTGTGGCTCAGGTTAGGGAACCCATAGAATTTATACACAAGCACTAAATTACTATTACAATAGTATTAAAACTTATTTTCCCTTCTCCACCAGTGCGAACAGTTCCACAGAGACTTTTTTAAAAGCAAACAACACCTTGAGGTCCTTGAATGGATGCTGCAAACTTCTGAACCCGTCTACATTTAACTGCTCCTGGGCGACTCCAGAATTTTAAACTGGGCACTTTATGTAAGGAGACAAGCACAGGGATTTACTTCACTGATGGACTGGTAGGAAAACAAAAGGACAGTGGAGTTGTCTGGTGGTGGTTGCAGACAAGACAAATCTTGTTTCCCAGCTTAAGTAGATTGGCAGCTGTGTAAATGCTGCCAGTTTCATCGGGGCTACTGGTAAGTATCTGCTCCGTATCTCTGATGAGCTCCTAAGTCCTGATATAAGCACCTGGTCATGATGAAGGGCATGTTTAAACTTTTTAAATGCTATTTATTTAAAACTGTTCCAAATGCCATGTTTGCCTACACCTCCCGACTCTCTTTAAGATCAGGTAGAGACATTTCAATCAAAGATCTTTCTTACACTGAACATAGAAAAACTGCCTTATCTATCAAGTCAGGCCGTTGGTCAATCTGCTCAATATTGTCTACACTGACAATATTGTCTACACTTACAGGGATTCAGTGGGAATGTTCAGGGATGCAGGAGATGATATATTGTCTGATTATATCCTTATCCAACTTGTTTTAACAAGTTCCACAATTTCAGCAGAGTAACATTCCCTTACTTTAAACTTTGCAACTGATGAGTTTGCTCAGACTCGCTAAAGCCTCTATAACAACTGTTCTGGTATTTTCCCCTTATTCCCTCATAAAATATAAGAGACGACACGGTCTTTTACAAAAGTATAAAAAGAGTTTACTCACATTCTGTTCACAGTCGGATCCCAGAAGGCAGACTTAGCTTAATGAAGTAACATACACTTGGAATCTATCTTATAAGAAGACAGTCCCTTTGTCCTCTCTTGGCTTGAAGCCAAGAGTGCATCTTTGGCTTAGTAGATGTTGTGTCTTCAATGCATGTGGTGAAAGAGAGAGAGAGATGGCTGCCCTGCCCTGTGCTTTTGTCATTACCTGCACAGGTGAGACCACACCCACCTCTAGTCACATGCAGAGGAAGTCCGTCCCAGCCCAGAAGGAAACAGGAAGTTTACCTGATGGCTGGACAAACATTCCTCCCCATGTGTAAACATCTTCACTCTAGGAATGTTGTACTTGACTGCTCTTGTGTTTCACATCCTACAGATTCAGACAGTGTACTTTCCCAGTTCTACCTGGTGATGCTGGGGACTGAAACTGGGACCTTCTGTATACAAAGCAGATGATTCCCCCCATGACCTTTCTCCTCGGTTACAGCCCCTTCTGTGGTCTTGCTCTATGAACTCAAAATTACCTAAGTGTGATCTTAAGTATGTATCTCAATAGGACTTTCTCCAACTAAATCTGCTAATATTTGCCATCTGTCTTAAACTTAGATTTTCATTGATATAATTGTGGTTATAGGGATTAAGAGATCTGATCTGGAACTAGCTTTGCATTTGCCTTGCATTAAAGCACCCCTCATATTTCTCCATACCAAACATGACCTCGTTTGAGGAAGCCAATATGCTGCTGTCCAAATGTTGCTGGCCTCCAACCCCCGACAGCATGTTCTGTCAAGGATGATAGGAGCTGTAGTCTAAAAACATCTGGAGGACAACACTTGGACTAAACTAGTTTTATTGTTATTTATTTTTAAAAATACTGACTTACTTTGGTGACAAATCACGACTTGGGATCTGTTGGAAATCTAGCTGTGGTTTTCTTTTGATATTGAACATTCCTGGAAAGTTATGTGTCTTTAGATTCAGGTGGCAAACGAGGGATAATATTCCACATGACCAAGAAAACAACAACAGTTCTTCAATTTCAGCCAGCGGGGGAAGATTTTATGAAATCTGCAGCAAATTAAATTAAAAATGTCAATAAATAGTTAGAAATTAATGCCTGGTTACTGTAAAACAGCCGGGTTTTTCTTCTGAACCAACTGCATGAGCTGTTGTTAGCAATGTGACCACCAACTGTTTTATAAGAAAAGCTTCATAAATATAGAACTGCATAGGTACCAAAACAGATCTCACTGCAATCGTTTTTACATGACCAATAACAATACTCTGGTCTATTTACTTTACCAGAGGTTAATTAACTCTACATTGTTATCGCTTCTGGTGGAGCCAGATAAGGGAAGCACTCCTCTGGTACCTCTTTTACAATATTAAAAGATGTTAAGACTGCAGTCCTAACACCAGCATTTGGCGGGCTGAGGGGCCATAGGAAGCTGCCGTTCTAGAGGTAGAGATGGTGGCTTGCCAGCACATACCACTCCAGAATGCCCACAGAAAGCTCTGCAGGTGTAGATGTCCCACTTGGTGGTGGGGGACAAAATGAGACGGTGGTGGTGTATTGGGACAGGCCTGGATCTGTAGGATCCTACCTTCTGAAATGCCCCTAAATAGGTCCCTAAAACTATGCCAGCTCCTGCTGAGGTCAATGTGGTCAATGGGAAGGGAGGAAGAAAATGAAAAACATTGAGGAAATCATCAGCATTCCATCTCTTGCAATGGCTGCATCTAGCCAGCTGGACACAGGAAGTGGTGGTCATTCTGCCATGGATTCTCCCCAACATTGACATCTCCATAAGATTCTTCTGTTATAGCCATGAGTCATCCATTGGTAGAGAACCTGGTATCCCCAAGATGTTGTACTGCAAAGTCCCATCAGCCCCAAGCCAGCTCAGCCAAAGGTCAGGGACAATGGGAGCTGCAGTTCACCAACTCCTAGAGGGCACAGTGATGGCTATACTGCACTTTGGAGTATCCATTGCACTTTATGGAGATTGTCTCAGGGTAACTATGCAGAGGACTGCAGTGTGGACCTCCTTAATACTTTTTGCCAATTTCATTTCACATCTCGGAATTTTTTTCACTGCAGAGTCAAACAACCTTCAAACAATACTTTACAAAAATATTACTCTTGCAAGAATATCAAGTGTTAATAAAGTTTAAGAACTGGTTATCTATTTATTGTCTAGAGTCAATGAAACCACATTGTTTCTTATAGAATTCTGTCTTCGTACAAAAAATATATTTTAAAAAATTCCCTGTTACAAGAAAATTGAAATGGTCTTCTTATGCTTGCAAACATTTTCGCAGGACACCTTTCCTACTTCCAGAAAAACATGTTAATAGCAAAGGTAATTTTGACTGGCATGTTTTAAATGTAGTAATGAAAAGAAGCCTTTGAGAACACAATGTTTTCTCTGGCTGCACGTACAGTTTTCTTGGTCACGTCCTTGGTAAAGACATTCCTGTGGAGGGAATGTGTGAGTTTTAAAAGTGGAATTAGGGGGTGTAAAGCTAATCTGAACTTCTAATAAACTGAAAAACAACATAGCAGTGCTATGAATTGGAGTATTTCAGCAACTGAGCAGTCATAACTGCAAATCCTTATTTATTTTAGTAATTGAGAAGAAGAAAAATTATCAGTCATTACACTTTTTGCAAAATAATCATTAATTTGCATAGATTTAAGACTGTTCAAAGGAGAATAAGAGGGGGAGTGTGCAAAAATAATAAATTCTGATTAATTTCCTGATCTGGATATAAACTATGAAATCAAGGGTGGGAAACCTCAAGCCAAATGCAGCTCTCCGCGTCTCTGTTTGGCTTGTAAGACTCTGACCAGGCCACACACCCTCTCCAGTAAACACCAATTGCTGGCCTTGCTCTGCTGCTAATTTTGCTTGGGTAGAATGTGTCCTTGAATGATGACAATACATCTTGTGGGAATGTGTGTGTTTGGTCACAGTTAGTTTTGCAGCACCCACCATTGGTGTGTGGCACCCAGAAGGGTGCTCGTGCTAGAAGGCAGCCCTTGAGCCGAAAACAGTAAATAATTTTATGAATTACATTGTTTATTTACTAAACAATGCAATTCATTAAAACTTATCAACTACACCTACAACTGCAATTAGGACATAAAGCATATTGTATTTCCATGTTCCAGTACCTAACGAAGTCACTCAATTTCTCAATGGTCTACTTGTCTTCTACTTTCTCTGGCTCTTGTAAAAGTTCTTACAATAACCAGTCAAATCCCAAGGGAATATTTTTATTTTTACAGTTACAGCTTAAAGAGGTACTTGCTTGTACCCTGTTACCTAAAAATAAGTCCCACTGAGTAGAGAGGCATACAGTACTGTCAGGGCCGCCTCAGGTCCCAGCTCACAAGAGACCAACGCCAAGTCCACTTTGTATTCAAAGATCTTTATTGCAGTGCATAGTACATTCCACAGCCGAGGCGCGCAGCCCCACGTCTGTTACGCTTAGACCGCTGAAGTCCCCTCTGAGTCAGTCCCGCCTCTACACCAGTTTAAGAGGCTTGTCCTGCTCCACCTTTTCCGTTCCTTCCTTTTCTGCAGGGTCTTCCTGCCCCCTGGGGTTTCGCCCCTCCTGGATTGTTGGAGCTGGCTGGGGTACCTTCTCTGGCGAGAAAATATTCTACTCCCTCTCCCCCCATCTCGAGTCCAGAATCTCTGTGACCTCGTTGAGTGGCTCGGCCCTAGGTGACCTCCCCTTTTGGTGACTCTCTGCGTGGGTCTGGTGCCGTCCCTGACTCCTGAAATCTGTGTGGGGCCTTGTAGGGTGTGAGCACCGACCTATGAAAGACCGGGTGCATTCTGGAACCTTCCGGAGTGTCAATCGAAAAGCACGGGATTGATCCTGGCCTCAACTTGGTACGGTCCTAGCTGCCTGTGTCCTAGCCTCTTCTTAGCTAACGACTTGGCCGGCACCGCTTGGGCTGCTAACCATACCCAATCCCCCCACCTGGATTTCTTCTCCTGCCCTCCTGTGTTTGTCCGCCTGCACTTTATAGGCTTGTTTAGCTAGCTCCAAGTGTCGCCTCAGTTCCTCGTGCACCTCCTGCAGTTCTGCTGCTAAATGGTCGGCCCCTTGCTGGACCCCTCCCCTGTCGTTACCAACCCGCGGGAAAGTTCTGGGATGCCGCCCCATTGTTGGCGAAGAACGGCGTCACAACCCATTGACGCGTGCTTCGTGCTGTTGTAGGCAAACTCGGCCATCGCAGGTAGTCCACCCAAGCTGCGGGTCGCTGATTAGCGTAATATCTCAGGTACTGCTGCATAATCGCGTTGACCCTCTCCGCTTGGCCATTGGTCTGTGGATGTCTTGCCGACGATAAGTTGATCTTGACGTTCAGGATACCTAGGAGCTTCTGCCAGAAACTGGAAACAAACTGGCGCCCCCGGTCG